TCTCTACAGTGGCGTGGATACAGGTCTCTACAGGGTGGTGGATGATGATTCCCCACACCCAGGATTTGACGATTGGGTCCCCTAAAAACCCCAGTCGTCCTTTAAAAGGGGGAGTATATAAGGTATTTCTCCCACCTTCTTAGCATGCCTTCGTAGCGTAGTGGTCTGCACGCTGGGCGCGTTTTCCCAGAGGTCCGTGGTTCGATTCCCGGCAAGGGCGTTTCTCATTTTTCATGACTTCTGCTTTAAAAAATATATCTAATGTCTCTACATCCTATCCGGATAAGCATATAAGAAACGTAGCGTACTGTAAAGCTACCATAATGATCGCCACTATATCATGTATATGCTATTTATTTCCTAAGTTTCCGACAGCGAAAAATATATAGTCTTCTCATTCAACGTTCTTACGTGACATGCAATGTCACGCATTGTCTTTATGCGAAAAGTTCACAGGCTTACGTTAACGTAATACACCTATTAAAATTTATACAGATACCCACAAAAAATCACTTGCCTACCAATAATTTTGTCTACTACAGTAAGTATTCAGAACAGCTTAAAAACTAAGGTTATATGTGAGCAGAGAACAGATCTCTTCAATAACTCGAATCTAAGTACTTCAGTCAACTCGAATCTAAGTTAACTCCAGTCAATTGATAAAACTTATGCCAAGTCATAGTTAGGAAGATACTTTTGATACTTTATAATTAAATGAAATATGTAAGGTTTTTTTAATAGTTGTGCATGAAAATTAAAGAACTTGTTTCAGAAGAAAATTCTTGGTTGTAACTTACTTCTGTTTCACCTATTGGCTTCCAAAATTTTTTGTTAACTTCGATGAAGTCGAGTTTACATCAGCTTCCAAATTTGTCAATCGAAACTTTTTCTTTCTAAATTTTTTCTCCTCATTTAAAAATAAATAAATAAACAACCGAACGCTCATTTTGCTGATGCTTCTCTGTTGCCAATTGCATTAAATACTATAAAAACAGACTTTTTTTTCTAAAATAAGATCGAGTAAAAATAATTACTCAGGATTATTACATGGTCTACATTTTTATTCACGTTTTAAACTAAATCTTACTTTAGAAATCTAATAAAATATATTAAAACTCAAAGCGTAAAATTATATAAAATTATAAATGAGGAAACTGAGTTTCAGTATTAAAAAGATTGTTCACTTTTTCTGCTTGTGAGTAAACAATCGTGATATTATATAAAATTACTATCCATAATCAGCTAGTAGACCTCAATTAAAAGTATTTTCGAAATACATTGAACCCTCTCACGACAGTTAACACTTCTGAAACTTCCAACCACTTCTGAAAGAGACCGGTACTTCTGAAAAGCAAGTAAGGAAAAGTACTAAGCATTTTTCTCTTATAGAAACACCCTCCGAAACGAGACCCTCGAATCTGCATTAAGATGGCAAGCAAAATAACTGATTTGTCAATCAACTTAAAATATTTTTTGTATAAGTAAACCAAGGGTTGCGCGTTCAATTCTTAGAACAATTTCCATTTTTAAAGAAATAACAATTAATCATTTCTGAGTCATTACTTGCATATTTTCTCAAACAAGCATAATTCAATGTTTGTGTTACAAAACTTCTTAAAGGATCCATAATATTTCTACGCTAGTTACATAGACTTTTTTCATTTCCTATCTATGCAGCTGGTAAAGTATAACAATTTAACGTTCAAGAGTAGCCAAGGCAGTTCAGCTGTTTTTGATGTTATTGCAATAAGTCGTGTTTATTTCGAAATTGATCGGCCAATGCAAGACGCATGCGATATTTTTAATTTTTATATTTCGTAAATCTTACCTTAAATTAAGATGCCAAAAAAAAAAAAAAAAAAAAAAAAAGGATCAAAGGCCTTAAAATTAGAAGCATGATTAAAAGTTACTGAAGATACTGCCGGAGGCCTAGAATAAATGAACTTACCCCTTCTCCCCAAAAAAAGAACGAGAGATAGTTCATAGTAATAAGATGATCAATTTATTTTAGTAATTTCAAACTATTTTAGAAAAGGAAATTATCAATCAAAAGAGAAAATCAAGCAAGCAGACTTCATTAGAGGAATATTTTAATAAGCAATCGGTGTGAAATTACAAATTTATAACGCAAAATTTAAAATGCAAGGTTTCTGTAAACAAATTAAAATAGTTAATTCCTAAATTAAAATAGTTAATTCCTAATTTAAAATGAATAATAATAAGACGATTGATTTAAGTAGGTCTGCGTGTTTTAGAAAAGAAACTGATTAACATCCCCCCCCAAAAAAATCAAGAGGCAGATTACATTGGATGAATACATTCATAAAGAGTGAGAGTTTCTGAAACTACCAAATGAGAGTTATTATGTAAGTGTTTTTTGCTTTTCATATAGTATCTGTTTTTCGTATTTAAAAATATTATCCATTCAAAAAATTTCAAAAACTAAGAATAAAATCATCTTTTGAATTTTTATCTTTAATTCGTAATTTTATTCATAAAACGGTATTAGTAAGCTGACATACCGTATTACTAATTCAATCTTTTTTTGTCACAGACTCTGACAATTTTGATTTTTTTAAATCCCAAATGTAAACTGGGAAGTGATAATCTCCGATAATCATCCTTTTCAAGATGACCTCTTCCAAAGAACGAGAAGCCCAGTCATCTGGAACTACGGATAATGAAGCGGGTTCACTCTAACTCACAACTTTAAAAATCAATTAATTCCGCAGAAATTTCTTGCAAAAAAAAAAGAAAATGATGAATACCAAAAAGTTATGCATGTAACATCATAAAAAAAATAAAAGAAAAAAAAAAAATAAAAAAAAAAAAAAAAAAAAAAAAAAAGAAAAGAAAAGAAAAAAATACCACAGCAACCACATACACATATAAACAACGAAGTGCATATCTCTCATAGGCCTTGAGTTTCAAAACCAAAACCAAATATATATATATATATATATATATACATATTTCTATGGACAGAAAGGTTGTTCTTTTGAGCGATTGAAATAACGGAAAGAAAGATTTAAAGTAATAGAACGCATCAGGTTACGTGGCTTTTCAGCAATAACAATGGGATGGTATTCAATATAAATTCCATGCTGCACGCAATCCACTTTCAAACTCAAATTCCATAAATAAAAGGAATGCAAATCCATTGGAGATTTCCAGTCATACGATCTCGAGGACAAAGATTGCATGTCTTTGTCCTATTTTATTTTTATTTTATTTTTAAACTTGTCTTCTGAAATGAAAATGGGATGGTATAGGTAATATTTATGAATGGCTGCTTATATGGTTGCTTATGTATATATAAAGAAACTGAGAAAGCAAGTCTGTCAAATTCTTTTACCAAATGATTATATTTTCAAAAGTACATTCATAAAAAATACGGTAAATCACCATCTTACTGATAAGTATTTGCCTTCTAGTCTTCAATTTTCTATCTTGTTCTACCTGTAAACTCAAGGACTTTGTTTTGTTTAACGGGATTTAGGACCTATGTGGGAGTGGTGTTGGAACACCAGGGTGCCTTGGTCGAAGGCCGTACCCCTGATCGAACAAGAAACTGAGCTTTTCTTAATCATGTCAAAAATAAACAGATAAATAATTTGAATCATAATTTAATTTAGATACAAGAACTATGTTCAATAAGCTTGCCTAAATCCAAAAGATACAGATTGAGTAACGCAATTTAGTATGCAATTAGCAACAGCCAAAGAACAAAAGTAGCTGAACGCTGACAGTTTGGCTTTTGAGTTCAATTTTAGGCGAATCAGACAAGCTGTATTCCCCGCATATGGCGAAAATATTAATGAATTTTCTTAGAAAGTCATCCATAAGTACATTATTCCATTATACTGAACAGGCTTTGATATAGTTTCCTATTATCACATTTATATATAACTTTAATCACAATTACTGAAAGCTAGCAACCAAGCCGAAGAAAAAATAAACGAGATTTTAAACTTTAAAATAACTGCAGTAAAAAATAATCTCACTTCATAAACGGAGAATAAAGTTAACGTTAATCTGTCTCATTTTGCAAATATATTACTTATTAAGTCATCTCGTTTTGAAGAATATAAGAGAAAATGTTGAAAATAACAGCGGTTACTTTCATGTATGATCTACTTCTATGTATGTATTACTCGTCATTGGTGACGCTTCTGGGTACGTGGTTAACAGCCAAAATAAGCTGCTACATTTCAGAGAGAGATAGTTCAAGATGTCCTTTATTCGAAACATTTTGAACACTGCAATGTAGAGAATGATAAATATATTTTAATTTATATATTAGATGGATAATGCTAAATATAAATGGGAAATTATATAAATTCGCATTTATATTTGTGCCGATTTATGCATAGGTTATGCATATTCGAATTTATATACCTATGCATTTATGTAAGTGATCCAGCCACTCCTGTCGAGTTTTATTAAGGAAAAAACAAAACATTTTATGACGGAACATGGCAGTGGAACAAATACCCTTTAATATGTCAGAGTGTCTCTATCGTTACAATAAAAGATATCACGCCTTTGATGTTTTCCGAATCCGACACACACGAAAATATTTTTGGCACGTGGGTCTTAAAATGAAAACAAAGGATGTGTAATCTCTGAGCATCTTTGCGCAGAGAAGCACTAAAGTTTGTTGCGATAGCAAGGATCACTGTTACGACACTCAAATAGAGCGCGGGACAAAACTGAAGGGCAGGTGAACCTGTTTCAGTCACCCAGGTCACATTATTTAACGATTGCATCGGCACGCCCTTCGTGTCTCCGACGGCGCACGCCTTCCTCGCATGCAATATCGAAAACAAAGAAGGACAAATAGTCATCATGACTGTTCCGCATTCATCAACAAGAATAAGAACACTAAAAAGGTATGCAGTACACAGAGCACGTGCGTCATAGGTTATCAGATAAGCAGTCAATTTATTTGTGATAATAATAATAAGATAGAAGAAAGATTTAAAAAAAAAAAAACTCACCTTCTTCAGATGCTTGTTGAGCCATTTCGTGAAAGTTTTCTTCTGTATGGCATCTCTCTCATCTGAAAATTTGAAAAGAGATTTCCACATGTTTGAAAGGGGTGACGACAAGCGGCACACTGAGAAGCAAAAACTACGCACACAAACACCGCGTGAAACGAGCGTTGGTGAACTCGTTATTCCAGTGATCTCCTTTTCGATGCATTGCAAAAGTATCTCAATGAATTCATTAGTTTCATTAGCTCTCGAAAACTTCTACAACACAATTCGGTGCTTTTCACGTGTTTCTTCACTTCCTATTCCAATTTCACGAGTTACAGTTAGTTAGTGACCTTCTCTATGAGTTACGGATTGTGATATAAAGCGAAGCGTGTTACAATAGTACGAGTTCATGGTCGCTGCCGGTGATCCCTAAACGATGAATGGTCTGCCAACTACATCCGATAGGAGGCTCTCGAAAAAGATGCTAACAGCGGGGATTACTATGCTGAACAACAAAAACGTAAGCTATATTTATCTATAAGATATCGTTGAAATGCTTGCTCTAATAAGTACGCGTATTTCAACTTTCAACTAGCTAATTGCTGTAATAGGAAAATATTGATTTTCCCGGTAACAACACAAAATGGAAAAAAAAAAAAAGTATGTACGCGACATCGGTGTGTGAGGGAGGGAACTGTTGGACAAATGTTCTCGAACTGTTCGAAATGTTCAAACTGTTGAGAGCGACTTTGGACTCTACTTTAGCAACGATAATATATTTCTGATGAAAACAGATCCCGCCTCTAGATGACAGAGAAACTCCTTTCCAGACTTTTTTCGATTTGTATTAACTTCCTCCCTTACAGATGGCAACTCTGTTTTGACAGTCGAACGTTCTTTCCTCCCTTTAACCCCTGCCTTAATGACAGCGTTAAACGATCGAATGGTCTAACACCTCTACATGAGAAAGATCTGGGACAATGATGTTACAAAAGATAAAACATGCCTTAAGTTAGAATAGAAATCTAAATGCTATGAGAAGAAACGGAACCCTTCCTACCCAGTTTCCGTAATATATATATAAACATGACACAAATGTATTCTCGGAAAGTGTTCTTGATTCACTAGACGTATTCGATTTAAATAATCGCTAAACACATGATAGCAACAAAATTATAAATGCAATAAATGAATCTTAAAACAAATATCTAACAAAGAATTTACATCAAATCGATTAAATTCAGTATCTTAAAAGAAAATTAAATTTAGAATCCATTACGCTCTTTATTGCTCGATTAAAAATGATGGCAAGAGGTAATGAAAGAAAGCCACAAAATTTGGCTCTTCCAATTTTAAAAACAACAAAATTAAACTCTTAAACAGGATTTTCTCTTCGCCAGAATCAAAAAGAATTTCAAAATACAACTATAATATATATATATATATATATATATATATAGTTCTTTCTTTCAATAAAATTATCTCATTAAAAAGCATTAGAAAATTTTTCTCAATAATCCACCCTTTGTCCTCGTCGTAACGTTTCCAAATTGGAAGAAAATAAATTCATTATTGAATAACTGAGCAAAAATAATATACTTATACGATTGGAGAGGGAAAATTCCACAGTTTTTAACACTAACACAAAATGCATTCTTTCTGAAATTTATGAAATATGTTAAATTCTAAAACAGCGTAGCATCGAAACTGACCAATGGCTAATGGATTAAATACTGAACACGATACAGTATCAATGACCCACAGCAGAGCCAATATAATGGAAAAGATTAATTTTTTTAAGAACTTATAGCTTTTCTCTACAGGTTCATTGCCAGTCGCTAAAAAAAAGTAAATGTTATGAACTAATGAGGTTTCGATCTAAATATCAGAAATATACAGGATATTTGAAAATAATGGCTACAGGTTTTATTTTCTTAACTGCTGATACTTGACATGTACATCCAGTTGCAAGGCTTCTCAAAATAACGCAAAGTCTTTACTTAAAATAGTCTGAACATTGTGGTTGGTACGGTAAACACAATGTCTAGCTTTTCCATACGCCTCCCGAAGAGAAAAATTTCCAGTTCTGAGAGATGGGACCACAAGCATAAACAGGCATGCATCATTCAGCCTGATTTCTTGACAAAATATAATAAATGAGTGCGATATGGGGCAGAGTAACATCCTATGAGTTCTCAGATGGTACCTCATCCAGCATTCTGACACCCTTTTGCTAGACTAGTCAAAGTTTAAAAAAAGTGAAGATAAAGTTGATATAAGATTCCTTTACATCTATCCTTTTACATTCTTTTACATGCAGATTTTCTCGAGGATTACAAGAAAGAATTTACTGATTTAAATGATTTTTTATTGCCTATCACTAAATAAAACTGAAGGCAAAGCTGCAAAAGCAAACGCTGCTCGTTTCGACAATTTATCGTTCTGTATTGGATAAAACACCACCAGTTAGTGAATTTTGCATCTGACCCCTGAAAATACTAAATACGTATATTCTACGAATGTGTCACGTAACGGTATGGAATGTTTTATAGTTAATTTATTAAATCATAATTAATATTTTACTAGCTAGAACTTTCTCTTAGCACAGGTCATGCCAAAAAAGTTATATTTGCAGAAAACCCTCCCACCCATAGTTGCGACAGGAGTTTCTATAAAAATGTATACCAGATTTTCATAATTCTGCAACTGGAAATATACGTGCGGGATCAACATATAACGAAATAAAGTCTGAAGTCCCTAGTAAATGCATTATATTTAAGAAAAGGGTTAAATAAAATGCAATGTCAGTAATCATTAAAAATATATAAATATAAGCAGTTAATCGTAATTTAAAATTTAGGTAGTAATATCTATAACCGATAAAAAAATCACTGTTGAATTATGAAAACCATGTTACAAAAATAAACTTTAAACTTGTAGCTATATATCATATGTTCCCATGGAAAAACAAGAGCGGATGTTACTCTTTTGCTCTTCTACACTCCTTCTTCTTGGAGTTTCTACTGGAACGGGTTCAAAGTATGAAAGTTAAGATGACATAATAGGGGGAAAATCTTGATTAAAACAAATAATATAATAACTTAAGTGCGGTAATCGAAATTCCACTGAGCGAATACAAAAAACAATAGAAATAATTACAATGATAATATTGAACAATAGGAATCTAACAAGCGTAAATTTGAAAAAAGATATATACATTACTAATGCACATAAATACGCGCTAAGTATCATTACATATATATACTTGCATATTGATAAGGAAGGTATAAAATGCCGAAAAGAGGAAATTTATGGGGACGGAACTACCTCTAGACGAATATTATTTTTAATGATTATTTGAAATATTACATTCTAATTAATTATAATTAGCGGTTTAAATTCACTCAGTGGCAGTTTCAGAAAAACGACTAGCTTAAGATTAGATCGCACTACCCTCTTCAGAAAGACGTTACCTAATTTAACACAGTTTCATTCATGCAAATTTGTTTTTATTATTCACAGAGCATAATCATGCTTGTTTTACTTCCAATTAAGGAATCCTCCCTCCCATTCTGGGTGATGAGATAACCCAAATTAATGTGATTTTACTTCTTATATTGGGTGAAAGCATTATAGCATTATATTAGTGCTTCTGGTACTGGATGAAGATTTCTTATATTGGGTGCATTTACTTGTTATATTGGCATATAAGAAAAAATGTTACTTCTATATCAAAGCATCTATTTTATGTATCTATATACACTGACTACTAATAAGTATTTGGACACCTGTGATAGAAAAGAAAAACTAACTTTATTCAAAATCAATAGTTGGTAGAGCCTCCACGAGAGGTAATTATAGCTTGGACCCTCCGGGGCATACTTTCCACAAGTCTTTGTATGACAGCTAGTGGTATTTTCTTCCACTCGGCTTGGAGAAGACATAGAAGTTCCTTCACCGATTTTGCACGGGTAGTGCACCTCTGAATTCGGCAATGCAACTCGTCCCAGAGGTTCTCGATAGGGTTCAGGTCTGGACTCTGGGCAAGCCAGTCCATTCGATGAACTCCATTGGCACCATACCAAGCCTTGGTTAACGTCGAAACATGACAACTGGCATTGTCGTCCTGAAAGTAACAGGGGTCCAACCCGTAAAACTGCCGCAACTAGGAACCATCCAAAACAGTCACAAAAAGTGCAGTATTGTCATCCAAAATATTGTCATCCAAAATATTGTCATCCAAAATAGTGCAGTATTCCAAAAATTATATATTATATATATATTATATATAACAATATCCAAAAATTGTCATCCAAAATAGTGCAGTAAGCATCGGAGTTGAGTTTACCATGAATGGGGACCAAGGGTCCCAGCTCATACCAGGAGAAACACCCCCAGACCATAATTCCACCTCCGCCGAACTTGACTGTTGGCACAATGCATACTGGCAGGAGACGTTCTCCAGGTAGACGCCAGACCCAGACCCTGCCATCCGAACGGTAAAGGGTGAACCTTGATTCGTCACTCCAAAGAACTCGTTTCCACTGATCTACGGTCCAATTTCGATGTGCTTTGCCCCTCATTAACCGAGCAGCGCGGTTGGACTTTGTGATCAAAGGCTTATGGGCAGCAGCACGACCATGAAAACCAAGAAGATGTGCTGCCTTACGGATGGTATTCATTGAAACAATACTCCCGGATGCCTGTTGAAACTCCTCGCGGATGAGGGCCATCAGTTGGGTGCGGTTCTTCCGAATTTTTCTGGACAGCACTCGTCGGTCTCTATCTCCCAGTTTCGTTGGTCTGCCGACTCGGAGAACATTCCGACAATCACCGCTCACCTTCCACTTCTTAATCACATAGGCCACTGTCGATTTTGGGTACTTCAGATTGCTAGATATGTCCCTTAAGGATCGGCCACATTTGTGATACCCGATAACTATACCTTTCTCAAAATCAGAGAGCTCCGAACTGCGAGGCATCTTGCATGCTACTAAAGCCGATGCTGTTTCCTACACGATATATACCGGCGGAGTCCGGGACGTACCTTAGAACCGCAGATATCGTCATTTGCATAGGTGTCCAAATACTTATTGGTAGTCAGTGTATTATATTTATATATCTATCTATTTATATTTAGATAGCTACATATCTATTTATATATCTGTATCTACCTATCCACATCTAAATGCCACACATACATACATAACCAGACAACTTTTTTTTATGAAACAATTAAGTAAATGTATTCAAACAGTAGTGAACATTTTCATGTTCTCATGCAATCTGCGCCCACCAGCGGCCGAGCGGTAAAGTCATTGAACGCTAGTAGTTGGGGTTCGAATACGGGCGGGCTGCAAGGGCGTTTTTATGGTTCTATCCATGTGTAACGTATATGTAAGCCATTTTCCATTAGAAAATTCTCCACAAAGGCATCCATACCCTTAAGCAGATAGCCCTCGAGTGCTCTGTCACAATTAAGTAAATCAAACCAACTTATGCAATCTGCAATAGCTGG